CACTCAAAAATTTTCCGTCGAAGGGGGGAGAAGGAGTACATAGCCACTGTGAAACGAAGAATTTTCCCCCAACTTCCTGCCACTTTTTTTGAATTTCCCAAAAGTTTACTACTTTTCCCCAAAATTTTGTTGTCGAGCGGGGGGAGGGGTATACAGTGCACATGAAACAGGAAAAATCACGCAAAAAGTCAACAACCGGAAAACCAACGCGACAAATTTCTCTCAAAGGCACATACGACCCCCTCTCTCCCAACGACCAAATACGACCCCTCCCTCCCACGTGTTTCACACAACGATGCTGCACTCTGTTTGTGATGCCCCTTATGAGTTTATATATACTTAAATTTATATTATATAAGCCGTTTTAAGTTCCTACCACCCACCCTGGAATCAACTTCTCCCTGTTGGTGGGATAAATTTCCTGACAGACAGACAGACAGACAGAGAGACAGACAGACAGACAGACAGACACAAAAACACTTATAGACATACTTAGCGGATTATATATAGCAGGATGTTGGACGACATTCAATGCAGAAAGATGCGAGGGACAATTTTTTGATGCACGACCGATTTGCCTTCGCCAAGATGAAGCAATCTCCCGGCTTGCTGAACCAATTTTTTAGCGGGAAATGGACCATGTTTCTTCAACCGTCGCCGACTATTGTCTTTCTACTTATTCATCTTCAGACACTATGACTTCACAGAAAGTAAATGCACGAGCCTTACAGGATTTAGAGTTCTTTAGAATAAGGGCCCAACAATTTCGCAAAGCCCTGTAACTAGTGTAAAGAACTCGAAAATGCGTGATGTTGACAAATTTTCTTGTTTGAGGTCATACCCTCACAAAAAGAACTCTATCAAAAAAAATTAAATTCTCTGAAAGAAGTCAAGAAAGGTGATGGGGGACGGACCGAGGAACCGACTGTGATCAGTTTTCCACTTTCCACCAAAAAAAAGACGGTACAAACCAAAAAATCTTTTCACCACTATGAACACTTACCACCAGGAATCAGGCAAGAATTCTCGATCCCCCCCCCCACCCCGCTCATGAAAATCTTGGTCGCACCTTTCTGTACTAAATGCAGCCCATCACAAAAAAGACAAAGAAACTGAGCGGAGATGACGCTCGCCCTATCACGGCTTCACAAGAGTTTACAGGACTTTACGAGATAGCCCGGTTAGTTGACAGGAATCGAAAAACCTCCCGAGCCTTAGGGCGACCAGCGCCAAAGTAATCAAACCTGTGGAACAGGGTGCGTCGAACAGTGGGAGACCCCAGCAGAGGGGGGGGGGTCGTATTTGGTCACTGGAAGGAAGAAGCCGTATGTAAGAGAAATGTGTCGGTAGTAGACTTTTCTCGCTTTTTATCGCTTCACAAGCTTTATACAGTCTTGTTTTTAGCTGGGTCGGTACAGGGATGGTGGGGGGGGGGGGGATTTGACGCAGCGCCAGCCTGTTCTTCACCTATTGCGGAAGCTAGCCAGCGACCACAACTGGTGGGCAATAGGCTGGCGCATCGCCAATCTGCTTCCTTGAAACATCCAGGCGTCTGCAGAGAGCAGAGCTGTGTAGCCTCCCCCCCCCACCCGCCCTGCCCGCTCGAAGGAAATTCTTTGGGGAAAACTAGGTTTCCAGACAAAAAAAAACTCCGGACAAGTGGTGAGAAAATGGGAAAATTCAGGAACATGGTAGGTAGAATACGGGTGGAAGGCGGGGTCCTACCCGAGGAGGAAATTTCGAGAGGTGCCGTATTTTGAATTTTCTCCAACGGCACGACCTCCCTTCTGTGAAAGAACTAGCTATTGAAAGCCAAGCAGTTTGAAGAAAATAGTACTGTAACGCACATTATTCAATCATTTAGTAGCACGAAAGAGATTCGGCGCCGTACCACTTGGAGCGGACTACTTTGTATCGCGTCGAGACATAAAATTTTTGAATTTTTTGTTTTTTCATCAATTCAAGGAGTCCACTTCTAAAATCTTACGAAGCCATAGAGTAATACCAGCTAAACCTTGTGGAGAATTTTTGTCCACTCTTATAAAACAATGACGACGATGGGAAGCAGCAAACGTGCAAAATGCCCTCACCCCCTGAGCCCGACCGCGCCGGCATTTACTTCATTTTTTTGGGGAGAGGGGAGCCAAAGAGATAACTTGTTTCGTTTCGCACGTGTCTTCAGATTCTAATAATAAAAGAGAGATCAGCTTTATTTCATATTTTTTAAGCAGCTAATTAATAATCAAGCTGGCACAAACAGTTCTCGCTATTTTAAGCTGATCAACATTTATAACTAAGCTTATCTAAACCACTTAGCCCTTTTTTACCAATAAATTGGAGCACGTAAAAGTATTGTGTGCCGGCTTAATTAGCGAATTGATTCTAAAATTCGCCGTTAATCTGCGAGGAAAACCTCAGAATTTTCAATTTTTTTCAGCATAAATCGACAAGTGATGGCAATGGCTGAACTTGAAGACGAAAATTAAGAAAAATACTTGGATAAAAACAAAATAAACACCCATGTCGAGTAAAGCTCGAAAACGCCGATTTGCGGTAAACGTGCCGACACGCGAAAATGGCGCCAAAACAAATGATTCAAATAAAAGTAGCGAGCCAAGGTAGCGCGTCAATTTCCTTGTCCAAAGATAAAAGTACACCAATAGAAGTTCAAAAAGAACTAATTAAATTCAGGAATGAAAAATAGAGGTGAAGTAGGAAGAGTCGGAGAAAAAAAATCAAAAGGATATTCACAGCTGGGCATTCTGGTTGGCATTGCTCCGATGTCGCATTTACCCGGTCTATAATAAGAGGACCAAGATTAACAAAAAAATAGAGGTTCTGTTACAGATCCGTAGAGGAACTGTCAGCGAACGAACATCGTTTGAATGTTGTTGAGCGCTATCTACACACTGGGGCATTTAAAGGACTAGTTGTGCATAAACGGGATTACTGTAACGCAAACCCCTTTCGCAAAGGAACGCTCCACTCATAATGGGACCCCTTCCCATAAGCCCTGGTGAGCCGAACATGCATATAACAGAAGCACAGCGAGCGTTGTCGTGAAACACATAGGGGGGTTCCCGTTAAATAATAAACTTTTTTGCTTGGGGGAGGGGGGTCGTATTTGTTGGAGACAAATTTATTTTGATAGTTGATTTTATCTTGTGGAAAAGTTGGGGGTCGTATTAATTTTTGTTATTGCATTATATTGCACTTGTACGCCCGTGTGATATACATTGCATAGGTATATTCATGATACCCCCCTATCCCCCCCCCCCCCCCCCCCGCTCGACAACTTTTTCGCCGACTATATACTCATGGCTCGGCGACTGGCGAAGAAGCGCTGTCGAAGGGTGGGGTGGGGGGGCTGTCGTACCCACGCCGGAAAAAAATATGGTGGGGGTCCCGTGGCCTATAGCCCCTCAGGAAGGGGGGGGGGGTCGTACTCTAACCAACATTTCGCCTATCCCCATGCTGTACCCTGTGCATATAACAGAAGCACAGCGAGCGCGATCCCACCTACAATATAATGAGTTGCGTGTGGCGGGTTTCACGCACTGCTTTTCTCGTTTCAAGACCAATCGACACGGCAGTATAGTGTCCGGGACAGGGCACGCCATCGCTGTGATGATCGGAAGGGGGTGGTATTTGATCGCGAGGAATGGGGAGGGGGGTCGTATTCGGTTGCTGTTGGGGGAGGGACTGCCAAAAATCTATACAACAAATTCAAGTTTTGGAAACTGGGGGAAAATCGGAGAAATTTTCCTGTTTCACATTGGGTATATACCCCCCCTCCCTTCCCCCACTCGACGGAAAATTCTTGGCTGGAAAACTGAAAATTTTTTAGGAAAAACTGGAAAAGTGGTAGGAAGTTGAGAAAGATCTAGGGAAGTGGTTGGTAGCATGGGGGGGTCGTATTTGAGGATGGAATTAGGGAGGGTCGTATTTCTCAGGAAATGATCACAACGCGATGGCGTGCCCTGGTCCGGGAGCAGCTGAGCGATTTGCAGGGCACACCGTTGCTGGGGATTCACCAGCAACGGGGGGGGTCGTATTTGGGCTGAGAAAAATTTGTTTTGATAGTTGATTTTTCTTGTTTCACGGACGTTGTAAAGGGGGAGGTCGTATTTCGTATTTCCCTTCTGAAGAAGGTTGCCCTGACTTTTCGTGATTTTTCCACTTCATTTGTATTATATAGTATCATATACGCCT